ATTGACCGTCACATCATAACGCTCCCACGGCTGAAAAGGCTAGCATGTTTGGTGGAACAGGGATTCGAACCCGCAGATTGCGAGTCGAGCTCCTTAACCGCTGGGCCATGTTGCTTCGAATATGTGGGACAAAACACAATTGTAAGGGAACGTTTTAATTAAACTCATAGGTATATACACTAGTTTCACATCAAAAAGAGAAAGAAAAATTAAAGTATCAATCTTGGTTCTGGGGGTTGTCAACCTTGGCGTATTTCTTTTAAAAGAAAAGCAACTTCTTATATTTCATACTTCCTATTTGACCTAGTCGGGCGTTGTTTGTTTGTAATTAAGCACAAAGCTACACAGTGGGCTAAATGTGATCTGCCCATCACAGGTATCTAAAGGTAGTTTCTAATATTATAAGTCAGCGGACATACCGCTGTGAAACTGGGAGACATTCAGTCGTTTTCCGTTGCTTTATTAATTAGTTTTACCATTCTGTAAACCTGCAAAGGATATTCCGCGTTTTATTCTTATTGCTCTCACACAAATAGATAAATAAAATAAGACTATTATAGAAGAAGATTTTCGTTTGAATTTTATTATACTTTTTACAGTTTGGTGTATGGAATCTAGTGCTTTGGCTCTTTTAAATAATGTTTTATTTTGTTCTTATGTAGTAGAGGATCGTCATTATTATTTTATATAAGTACGTAATTTTTTCATCTTCATCATATTATTCAATAGCTTGTTACTTTGAACTAAACTGCATCATCGGCATTTCCGTTTCCTGATGACACACCCTTCTTCAGTTAATACTGGTATTTGTCAGCTTCCACGGCCACCTCGAGAAATACTTCCTGCTATTTCCGTTACCTGATGACACACCTTTCTTCAGTTAATATTGGTATTGGTCAGCTTCCACGGCCACCTCGACAAATACTTCCTGCTAACGTCAGTGTATATCTTTCTAATATTTATTACCATACCTTTATCATTTTTACTCCTAAAGAGGGATAGTCAGTTATCCGAAAACATCGAGTTTCTGGGTCTTTTGAATTCTACTTGATTTTTTCGACGATCCTTTTTGCTAATTCTTTAATTATAGTAAAATATAAAAAAATAAATAAACAAAATATATAAGCTTTCTATTATGAGGCACCACGATTGAAGTTACAGCTATCTGTCCTGCAAGAAAACATTTTACTGACCACTAAAAGTGACCCGGCTCTGAGTACAACCACAGTAGGGAGAAGTTAAGTTGTTTACTTGAGCGATTTTCTGTACTGAACACAAACAGAAATTTCGAAAAATTTATGCAGTAAGTAAGGAGACAGGAAATATATGGTACCTTCTGGTCCCACAGCTGTGACTTAGTTCACTAAGGTTGTCTATTCCGCATGCACAAAATCCTTGCACTTTTATATTCATGT